TTGAAATTTTGAGTCGAGTAAGAAAATATGTTTCTCAGAAATGTAAAATGACACAACAAATTCAGGAGGATCGAGTTGTGATCATGTCATTGAGTATATTGAGTACTGTTGAGTAAAAACACCAAGAAAAGTTGTACTATTCATACCCATTGGGTCAACTTTATTTGTATGCATAGACGGTAAATGTTAAAATTGGGCAATTAACTAGTCCAAGTGGCTGATTGAAGATGGATTTGTTGGCTCCTGTTTGTAACCAGACCAAAGCACCTTCGCGCGTTCCAATGCATCTCTCTTCTCAACGCCTTTGAGGTCACTAGCACCCAATAGGGTTGATAGTTGCCGACGCACAGAGCGACTAGACTTGACTGAAATTTGCATTTATTTCAGTACTACACTCGAATAATAGCTCGTCTTCTTCTGGAGGGGTTTGTTGGCTGGAGAGGCTTGATTATAAGCTAAGAGATAGTGAATTTTAGTCATCCCTAATAAACTCTGGATAAAAAATGACATCATCGTCTATAATTTTTGTTACAAAGTGTATCAATAGTTGTTTAGAATAAAATGCTCAAAAAAATCGATGTCTGTTAGGCTCTGGGGAAAACTGAAATTTAATTGCAAATGTACAGAGCTATCCACGTTCTAATTGTGAGTTCTCGTTTGAAGGAAATTGTTTCGAATGAAAGGCTCACAAATTGGCCAATAAGTGATGCCAGCTCGAGTTGATTACCCGTGAATGCCGTATAGGAAAGAGTACTCTGAAAATTGAAGATGTCGAATGCAAAAGAGAATCGCAACTCACAAAGAAAAGAGCGGCAGGGATCTGGATTAGCGTGCTGAAGATGGTGATCCCGAGCATACTCCATTGCTGTTGTTTCTTTGTTAAACCTCTAAACGGTCAAACCTCTAACTCTAACTTGATCTCTAACTGATCGAATTTTATTAGCTTCTTTAGGTTTTTACGCCTTTCATCCTAGTTTCATTTACTTTAAACAAGGACTTTTTTTTGAAAAAGCTATTCGCTGAGTTCCTTTGGCTTGGCTATTTATTCGATGTTTCTCACAAATCTGAATCAAATCTGAATCAAATCTTATATAGCTTTTGTGGCTTGGTTTGACTTGAAGTTACCTGAAAATTTTGGTTTAGCAACTACACTGATCTATGTAATCTATTCTGAGCAAAACAAAACAGAAGAACTTTACGCCAAAAACGGCTCATAAACGCGTATCTTAACTGACTCATAATCCATCACTTGAAGATAAAAATACATACTTAAAACCCTGCCTCTTCAGTAGCTCATTAAGAAACAGAAATGTAAACGGTTACCTCATTTTCCACACAGTTATCAGATTCATGCTCAGACCGAGTGCGGCCACCGTAGTCACCAGAACGGCGTAATAGAGCCGGTGCCACTGAAAAATGGCTCTTGGTTGATAGACAAATATCATAGGTTTATGAAAAAAGCCTATGAATTGAATAGAAAGTTTGGAACAAGAATTTGCACTCACCGCATCAAAACTGGGAATCTGAGGATAGCCGAGCGACGAGTCTTTCCAACCCCATAGAAAAATGAATGTAATCGAGTGACATTGCGAGAGGAAGTCGAAAAACAACGCGAATCCGATCGCTCTTTTCAAATTACGACCACTCTTTTCTTCCCAAATCTGCAATCAGTCTTTTAATATCGGAATTTTTGAATGAACAATACCTTTTGATGATTTAACGGATAGAGAACACTTGTTAGACGATTTAATGACATCACCACGGATAACATGCAGTGGCCGGTTCGGAAAAGCTGAAAAGCTTCGTGTGATCTTTTTATTGGTTTTTCGAGACCTGCAAAAAGATCTGCAAGATTGTCCTTCCGGGTGGCGATGATTGAAGGAGGGGATTCATTTGGAAAAATGGAAACGATGCCAAGTCGATGACGCCTGGTAAAATAGCTTGGAGTTTAGGGCTTTTTTTAGAAACTATTTCATTTTCAACTTCCACAATAACAATTCCCTTCCCTCGTTCAGTCAACTGCAGTTTAACTAACTGCCGACATCGTTAGATAGGATTAAAAAGAAAAACTTCAATCTATTACCAAATCCAAAGCAAAAGCAAAAGCTAAAAAAACACAAACCAATAACGAGAAAAATTCGAAAAAACGACGAATCGAATTGTCGATTCTTGCTTCTCCAAATGGTCACCACGACGCATATGTAAAGAAGAAACGAAAAATAACTATAGAAATCTTGCCATAAAACCATTCTTCATTGCAAAAGCTTTCAGAAAAGACAACTCTTCATTGGAAATTTTTTTCAAACTCTCAATTACTTCTAATTGCTCAGGTTTTCGGATGACTTTAAAAAGTCGGCTCCCGAGGGATCGTTTTTCCAAACAAGATACAGAACTTTGTGCCATTTTTTTCGTGTATTTTGTGCTCTTTTAATGTTTAGAATATCAAAATTTGCAGGTGAAAACGTTGAAAACCAAAAAACGAATTATCCGGAGTTAAACCTTTTCTCAATCAATAAACAATTTTTTTGATTTGAGTAGCTTAAACTGATTTCATTACAGGATCAAGGTCGTTTCAAGGCCAAGTCGAGAGCCAGGTCCTGGCTTCTCTGTCGGACACACTAAATCCTTGAGTAGATCTGAGCCTGGGCCTTTCTGGCCGGTTCAGACCTGACTTGAATTACAGTACCCAGAGCTATTTTAAGGTGCTTTTGTGCTTCATTTACAATCATAGTCAATTCAAATAAATTTAGTGCTCAAAACTTTGCGGCCAAATGTGACGAATGATAAATTCTTCGCGAGTTCAGGTTAAATACCCGAAAATCTTCGCCGCCCGCAGCTTCAACACCCCAGCGTCTTTTCAATCCTGCTGATAAACCTAACCTTACCTACGAGATGGTGCACTAAAGGTTATTTTGTGGGTGAATGGAATGGAGCTTTCTGAAAATTGGAACCACAAAATTTGGTTTTGTGTACATTCTACCGTAGGCCTTTTGATGGCGAGTTCGAAAACGCGCCCCTTTCGTGTATTTAAGGAGATATATTTAATAAATTTCATTCTGGTCAAGTCGTTTAGCATGTGTAGGTACCGTAAATGCGGGAGGTAGTCAAATGAGCGCCAAAAATTGAGCGCCAATCATTTCAGCGCCAACGATTTGGCTCACGCTTATTTCAGCGCCACTCATTTGAGCGCCGTGCCAAAAATGACTGGAAAACAATCATTTGAGCGCCAAATTAAAAAGGCCTAAAAACGTTCATTTAAGCGCCGGGCTAAAAATGACTGGAAAACGTTCATTTCAGCGCGACTAAATTTTAATATTTTTGCTTTCTACGCTGCTTTTGCATGTTTTTTAGGGTTTTGCTTCTGTTTTTACACTTTTTTCACTCATTTGACCTAGGGCACGGCAGTAGGCACCAAATGCGCGGAAAAAATTGTTAGATTAGCTCGTATTTAAGGTTTTTTTGATGAAAATGTGTAAATTTGCTAGTTGTATGATATTTTCCCCCAATAGCATGCTTTTTCACCGTTTCTTGCCGTTTTCGTTTACAATTTGCTTACAGTTAACATAGTTCTTTGCTTAGGCTCGTGAACTGCGCAAGAAGCGGCGAGACAAAGGAACACTCTGAGTCAAAGTAACGTTTTGTTCATGATTTATTTGGGTTTATTTTGCTGCCAAGAATTATTTTTATCTTAAGATGATTGCGATTGCAATTGTTTTTGTTATTGCGTGTTAACTAGTTGAATAAAAACATACAGTAAAAACTTTGAGATCATGCAGAAAATGCAAAAATAACATGCATATACAGAATGGGCTGATTCGGCGCTGAAATGAATGTTTTCCAGTCATTTTTGGTGCGGCGCTGAAATGAACGCGCGCTAAAATGATTGGCGCTGAAATGATTGGCGCTGAAATGATTGGCGCTCAATTTTTGGCGCTCATTTGACTACCTCCCGTAAATGCTGTAATAGTGCCCCATCGCTCTAGTGCCCTAAGGGTAGACGTGCTTATCGATTTTATGGATACAAACGGCATGCTAATGTTTGAACGTTCAGATCTCTGTTTCTAGAACAGCTATCAACTTATTTCATTGCTGGAAAGCTTTCATTCATTGTAATGGCGGCGGTACCATTACAAGATTTACGGTAGCTAGTAATAGTCGTATTTTCCTCAGGGGTTGGTGGTTTTCTTATTTGCGGTGTTACCTCTGCTGTAAATTTTCATTTAGGGGAGATGTCGGACAAGCCGGAGAGCAGCAAGACTCAACTCGAAGGGTAAAGAGAATGACCTGAAACAGTCAAAATTTTCAAATTGAGGGATATTATCGAACCATTGCTCCAAAAGGATTTCTTGTCACAGTTGCCAGAGGAGGTTTGTCTTTTGTTAAAGCTTGTGAGATTAATTGTTTATTTTTAGATTGCGTTTCACATAATCGCCTATCTGACACCGTGCGATTTGACGGTTTGTGCTGGCGTTTCGCGGACGTGGCAGCGAATTTGTGAAGATGATCGGACGTGGCGACAGAAATGTTTGGAGAAAGGATATGTGAAATTTGATGCGCCAAGGTGTGTTACAGTTTTGAGCAAATAATAGAACATTTAAAAATACATATCTGATAGATTGATATTAAACTGGGTCTTACACTTCTAAGGTATAGGATGATACTGTTACTGATTCAATAATGTGATTATTCTGCAGCAAAGAAAGCTTTAATGCGAAAGAAAACAAATGATAATGTTTGTTCCAATGAACTGGTTCACATTTAAGAATACGATTAGTAAAGGATTCGTAACAAGCTTCTCACTAACTTATTTTTGTTCAGTTGTCGTTTTCTCGGAGGCTGGGCGACGAATCGAGCGAATGAACAAGCGGGAATCACAATCTTCTCACATATGGACCTTCAAGAAGCACATCAGAATCGACGAGAACGCGAGATCGCATATGGCCAGTTGGTGCCGACTCGTTGCTGAATTAAATTTTTTCTAGGTGTTATGAGCGATCCTCATGGAAGTCACTGTACTTGCGGAAGCAGCGAATCATTTCGAATTGGCGATCCCGACCGATTCAATCAAGCACGGTACTAAAGGTTTGGACAAATGTTTTGACCATAAAAATTGTTTTTGAGGGTCACGATGAATATGCGATCCGTTATCCACAAATTCACTCAGGTCGTATCGTTACTCGTTCAGATGGTTATACGTTGCCGGTTTGGAATGTTGATGATGCTCAAGTTTGTTTCGCTTTGCGATTATTGTACGTCTTAATTTAGCCTGCTTTTACTCTAACTGGCCATATGCATCATGTTTCGACATCTCAAGTGAGCGATGATGGCAAATACGTTGTCAGGTTAGTTAATAGACTAGCTAGTGCAATTGATAAGTGTTGTCAAAAGCTAAGAAGCCAACAATTTTCTAGACGAAAATACTTATGAGGACAAAGTCTATTGCAATATTTTAGTGGCTCGACTGATCGAACGGTGCGCGTTTGGTGTGGTCAAACCGGTGCACAGCGTCATGTTCTGCAGGGGCATACGAGTGAAGTGTGCTGCATGAGTCTACATGGTACAACGTGAGTTATCTCAATTTTGTGTTTTAGCTAAGATCATAATGTTTTAGTCTTGTTTCTGGATCACGCGATGGAACGCTCCGAGTCTGGGACATTGTCGACGGGAAATGCCTTCACATTTTGACTGGCCACTTGAGGATGGTATTTGTATCAAAGTTATATCCTAAGCAAAGTTAAATTTCAGGTTAACGGTGTGCAATTTGATGGAATTCGGGCTGTGTCGTGTGCCTTTGATTTTACTGTAAAGGTTTGCAATGCCTGGTTTAATTTTATATGTTCTCTAAGGTTTGGAATGTGGAGACGGGGGCGTGTTTGCACACACTGACGGGTCACACGCGTAGAGTTCTTTCACTTTTGGTGAGTTGAATTATGAATTTTTTGGCTTTGATCGGGTTTCTGTTTTAGTTTGAGCCGGAGCGCGATCTTGTCATCTCGGGAAGTCGGGATACAACGATGCGCGTCTGGGATGTGCGAAGAGGAAGTGTGTTTTACTTCCCTATTTGGTTGCAATCTCCTCTATATTTGTTTCTTTCAGCATGCATCGCAATTCTTCTCAGTCATGAAAGTACCTGGGACTCTGTTATGCAACTTCGCGGAGACACTTTAGTCGCCTGCTATTCCAATTCAGACGTTGGGATACGTTTAATCAAGCCTATGACAACTACTTCCTTTTCTTTAGGTTTGGGACATTCGTGACGGTGGTTCGCGCATTCATCGCCTTCAAGACGTAAATGGTCACACGTTTCAAATCACTTCATTGCAATGGCTCGACTCGGGACTTTTGGTGACAAGTTCTCGTGATGGCTCGGTCAAGCTGTGGGATGTGGATAAAGGTATGTTGTTCTAAATTACCTGGTAATGTAGGTTAAAAGATGAGCAAATATTGTCCAGACTGCAAGTTTTTTCTAAAGTAGAATTTATTAACTAGCTAATTTGACTAGTTAACTATTCAAGCCTGAATTTATGTTGAGGTTTAGTATTCTGTTGTTAATTTTTCCTCAATTTCAGGTATTTTCGTCCGTGACCTCGTTCGTCTTGAATCGGGTGGATTTGGCAGTCCCATTTGGCATCTTGAAGCCACCGAAACATTGCTCGTCTGTACAGGTGGATCGCGAAGCGCAACCGACGACAGAAAGCTCATCTTGATCGATTTTGATGCATCGTATCCATAAGTATATTCGTATTTTTGCTCTTTCCGCTTAGCCTTAGCCCTTATTGTGATTTTCTGAAGAATTCTTTCGATTTTTCAATTCTGCTGAAATTTCATTGCTCTCTCGGTCAGCGCTTGTGATTTCGTTTCAAATGTTTCCCACATTTTACACACTTTCTTGCATGCCAAAGTCTTCATATTGTTAACCTGTTTTTATTTGCTGACAATTATTCTCGTAACAATGGTCATTTCCTTTTTTGTCGAGAGTTTTCTTGTGTGATTATTTCCAGAGCTGTTTGTGTTGCTTGAAATTGTGTCTTTTTTTTTCGGTAACTATTTGGCAAGGTAAATGGCTTAAACTTGCACACAAATAAAAGCAAACAGGCTAAACTTTTAAACTTTTTTTACAAAGAGGGAAAAAGGCGAATTGGTGACGCAGCAAAAACGATTGTTTTTGAGGCTTTTATAGGTAGGTAAATGTATTTCCTTGTTGAAAACAGTGAGAAATAAAATTGTGAAGTAGAAAACTGAAAAAAAGGTTGCTTAGAAGTTGGAAAAAAGCGATTTTTCACAGTGATTTTCAAAAAAATACTCCGCATTCGTGTATTTAACGAGACTTTGCGATAAATTCAATTCTTTGAGTAGGCTTATATACCGTAAATACCCTAATACTACCCTATCCCTCTAGTGCCCTACGGGTAGACTGGCAAGATAAATGGCTTAAATTGATCACAAATAAAAGGAAACACGCTAGATTTTTAAACTTTTTTTACCCTCTAGTGTCCTACGGGTAGACTAGCTTATCGATTTTATCGATACAAACGACATGCTAATCTTTGTACGTTAGATCTCTGTTTCTAGAACAGCTCTCAATCTGAGAATGGTTTCATTGGGAAGTCAAGAATGTCAGCTTTTGATCATCCAATGCATCGCTGAGTAATTTAATATCTTGGTGGAGTGCCTAAAAAACTGTGAAACTACTAGGCTTATCTTTTGAAAATTCTCTAATATTGTATTAGATTGGCGACTTGAAATTTTGGTACATTTATTCATTGCACTCTTTAGAAATAACTAATGCACCAACCAATCTACAGCTTTTACCATTAAAAAGTTGTAGGTTTATTCTTGTAAAGCAGACGTAGCAACGTTTGCCTTTTTTTGTCTTGTTTTTCTGTCGTTTTTGCCTTTTTTTTCGAGCAGAATCGTTCAGTTTCCTCCCATTTGCCCGTTCTTTTTTTGGCCAAAGAATTTGAAGATTTAAAGACCCCCTTACATTAAAATGACACCAAAACAGCGAAGTGCAAGTGGGTTTTCGTTGTTCGCTAGTTTGTTGCAATCTCCTCTATATTTGTTTCTTTCAGCATGCATCGCAATTCTTCTCAGTCATGAAAGGGCCTGCACGTCCGCGCGAAATAAGACGAAAAATGCGATCGCCGTTAAACTTGCTCACGGTAAGTGCTATTTGATGCGAAAAAATGTCCTGAATTCAAATTTGAAAGAATTTTTCGAATCCGTCTGACAGATTTTTTTAAATCGAAAAAAATCGAAAAAATCACTATTTTTCCATATAAACGCCAAAATTGCCTCTTGTTTTCCGAAGTCTACATTACACATCAATAAATAACTATTTCTGAAGAATTTTCAAATTTCGAAAAATATTCTTCTTCTTCTTCTTCATCCGACAATTCCTTCCTCGGTTCTAGTGTATTCTGGAGATGTTTTTCAATTTCATCAAAGAATAATTCAATTCGTCCTTTCATTTCATCGTCGTTTTTAGGAAAATCTTTTTTATACAAACTCATCTGTAAATTGAAACTTTAAAATAACTTATCTATAAAATTGGAGTAATATTAAATAATATAAAGTATGTATTTGAAGACTTGAAGTACTTGAAGCAAAAATCGATATGAAAAACTCCTTCTTATCAGGATTGCAGTTGTATTAGGTGTGTGAAAAAGTAATCCACGTTTTTAACGTTTAAATATAATAGACCATAAGTTTCATTAAATAAAATTCATGGCATTCAAGCGTTTCCTTACGGTTGACCCATCACAATTTAATGTAAGGCCTATTTCTGAAGAGGTTGAACGAGGGTTTTCGAGAAGACAGCGTCTTATTTGGTCATCAGAACAGGTCTCAGGGCGACCACCACGTGGTTCATCTTCCAGACTTTCATTACCACCTTTGAATCGTCGGAACCAAAACCTAGCGGTATCATCAATAACGGCGTCTTCGCCAAACGCATTCCGAATTCGACGTGCAGCCTCCGCAGCTTTCAACCCATTTTTGAACTCATAAAGCAAATTTGACCGAATAGCGATACTTGTGTATACCATTTTTAAACTAAAATGAAAGCAGTTTATTGTCGTCCTTTTAACAAAATAAATATATCATTCGAAAGAGGAAAAAATAAGCTTTTAAACGATATATATATCGTTAACAAAAAATCTTTTCACACACCTAATAGATTTGTGTGAGAGTTTCCAAGTGATTCATTCTACCAAAAAAGGCTGAAATAAACAAACGAATTAACTCTGAAAACAATGAAAACAAGTTGTGTTGAGGATTTCATTCATTTAAACTTTTACTATCATTCTGATTTTACTGATTACTAGGCAAGATTACTGATTACTAGGCTCAGATTTTGAAAGCACGAATCCAAACCAAAGCTATATGACTTACGCAAGTCGGAGTCGGACACGCGCAACACGATGGTGTTTTTAGTTTTTACCCAAACGTGCTAGATTTCTGTAAAAACGAAATTTGACCCCCTTGTGCACTGAGCTACTTATGAGTTTGTAAGGTCTCACCAGAAAAAAGTGACTCAGTGGTGTGGTGGTCTCCGAGTCTGAGTCCTGAAATGGATTCATATGAGAATGTGAAGCGGAAAAATCAGTGGCTTTCTCTAGGTGAACCCCCACAACCAACTTGAAAACCCGATATTCATGGAAAGAAACTTATGCTTTGCTGTTGGTGGAATACAAAAGGTTTGGTGTATTATGAGTTGCTGAAGCTGGGAGAAACTGTCACCGTTGAGTTTTATTCAAAACAGTTGATGAGAGTTAACGAGGTTTTAAAGAAATTCGGCGTTGAAACATCAAAAGTGCTATTTTTGCATGATAATGCTGTAAAAAAAACCTGAAATGCTGAAAAACCTCACACTGCAAAATCACTCACCAAAAAAAATCGACGAGCTAGGTTGGAAACTTCTGCCCCAGGCATCTTATAGTTCGGACCTGGGCCCATCAGATTATTTTTTGTTACGGTCGTTGAGGAGTTTTCTTATGGGAGAAAAGTTCGAGAATCATGCACAGATCAAAAAAGCAGTCGACACTTATTTTGGCTCGAAAACTCGCCATTTTTTTGAGGATGGGATCAGGGACTTGCGACGAAGATGGGACCCAGTCATCAATAATAATGGAGAATATCTCATTGATTGATGTGTGTTTGTTTATGTTTTTAGCAATAAACATTTTTGTGACAAAAACCAACATTACTTTTTCCTCAACCTAATACTTGTAAAAGCTTTAGTCTAAAGAAATGTTTGCTGTTTGAGCTTTGAAATAATTTCAACTTTCTTCCAAATCTGTGCTCCTTTGTGTCTAACATTGCAGCGTCTTTTGTACCGAATTTTTTATTAGGTTGTGCTGCGCTTCTTTCGAAACATCAACGGAAATCTTTTTTTAGCGCGCTTAGTGACAGAAGACGAGAAAGAAAGAAAGCACAGGATCAATGAGAAGGCTCAATCTATTTGCTCAGTTAACAATAAGTGCGAAAGTGTGAGCTTTGTTATCAAAAGAATCAACAAAAACCGATTAAATTTTGCCGTGATTTTCAAAGAAGTGTTTAAGGAAAAATCTTTGGGAAAAGAATAGTTTTGCAATCACTAAACTATCGGTAAACAAGCAAGTGAATGAGACTATCTTCCGAACCATCAGCAGCCACCGTGATAATCGCACGATTCTTAAATGAGAGCATCATGAGGTTCTTCGGGAGTTTCTTTCACGCATTCCAAACCCATTCTAGATAGGTTTCCATTGGTGGAGCCGGATTTTCATTGTGAGTCTTCGTCTTCACCCATCCACCATCCAATCTTCATATTAGACTCAAATCCTCGTTTTAAAAGAAGCATTCTAAATCACATCCGGTGCTTGAATGCATTTGGTACAACCTCGAGGTACCAGAATCGATACCAATATTGCGCAGTATTGTTGGAGATCATTCCTCCACCTTCCACTTGGCATATTTTTTTGGCCGCTTCAGTTGCATTGAACCCTTGTTTCCAATTATGGCGCAAAAGTACCCGAATTTCGAATTTTTCCATCTCTTTCCTCCAAAGTAAAAAATTAAAATAAATCGTTAAACACAGGATAACATAGTAAAATATGAAAGAGCAGATCAAATGCTACAAAATAAATATGGCACGTATAGATAAAACGAATTTATTAGCTTCAAAAAATAGTTCAAACTTAAAGAGAAAAAAAATAGAAAACTTTTGGTTCACCCTAATACTACTACTAGCTACCGTAAATACTGTAATAGT